CGAGACGACGTACCAACTACGCAAGGGAAAGTAGTGGTTGCACCCACCTTCGGTACACCCACGCAAAAAAAAGCAAAACATTTCAAAAAATTATAAAACTATGTGGGAATGATTATCAACAAATATTATGCGTGCTTGCAAAGTTTGGTGGTCAAATAACATTCGAGGAGCTCGGTACAAAAAACACAAAATTACAAAATCTGCTCCAACAGTGCACTTACAATTTGACTAATTTTCAATTATTTTGTCATTTTTGTACAGAGCTCCTCGAATGTTATTGGACCACCAAACTTAGCAAGCGCCCATAACATTTGTTAATGATGATTAATGTTTTGCTACATTTTCTTGCGTGAGTGCATCGTAGCCCGTGGGTGCACCGAGCAGCATGTAGAAAAACCATATGCAGTTAGGAGTAGGGATAAAAAGACCCAAGGTGGGGGCCTCAGAAAACAAAAGCCGAAAGCCGCCATCTTCCTCGCTGTCCACCAACTCAACCCACTAGAGTGTTGATATAGCTTAATCTCCACTAATTGACCAGGCCAACATCGTGTACTTATTGGTTGCCTGTGTAGCGCCTCATCGTGTACTTATTAGTTGCCTTTGTGGCGTCGTGATCCATAAGACCACAACTACACATCTTACCTGACCTAAGCTGGATCATATCGCCTCAGTCTCACCCCTCCCTCCTTCCATCCATCCCGTGAAGAACAAGGATCATTTGCATGGCATCATCCAGTTCTAGCTCCGGGTCCACCTCCAGGTTAGTACCTACATCTCGATGCAGATGTCTCTTGTTCCTCTTGACTAATATTGTCAAGCATTCCTCTAATAAACATATAATATAGCGTTCCTGCTTATCTGATGCGGCTTAAAGCTTAATAGAAATGATCCGATTCGATCTTAATTTGTATGCATGTAGTCTTACAAGCAGAGACAGCTGTGCTACCATAGGTAGCAATGGAGGTACGCAGCCAACGAATTTAACCTTCCAAATATTACAAAACATCACGGATAATTTCTCTGAGGAACGATCACTTGGTCAAGGTACTTTTGGAAAAGTTTACAAGGTATGATTCATTTGCGATGTGCTCTTGTATGATTGTACTCCCTCCATACCATAATATATGCTGTTTTAGCAGTTCAATTTAAACCGCTAAAACGACATATATTATGGTACAGAGGTAGTATAAAAGAGGTATAAAGATTTGATGCTCTTGCAAAGTTTCAGGGATAAAAGATGTATAAAGATTTGATGCTCTTGCAAAGTTTCAGCAACAAATAACCTTCGTGGGGCTCTCACCAAAGAAAACAAAATCACTGCTTAAAAATGAGTTATAAACTTTGAACAATGATTTTGTTTATTTAGGTGACGACTCCTCAAATGTTATTTTTAGCTAAAAGTTTGCAAGATCATCAATAGTTTGATTATGTTTGATGTCTCAAAGTTTCAGTTTTTTTAATTTTTTATATTTATTTTGAATTTACTGTTCATAGAGGGTGTAGGGGCACCTAGGTGCTGAATATCCTGTCTCGTTGCAGCGAGTCTCATTTGGGAGTCGTTGACCAGAAATCACTTTCGTGGATAAAGGGGAGTTGTTCGAGTGAGGGCTTTTGGCGGGCGACCTCCATGGAGGTGGTTATTTTGAAAAATTCAATAATTATATTTTGGAGTTTCAAAAAATTCTTAAAAATATTCTACACATTCATATGGATGTATTCTACATGTGTATAAAATCTGACAACGAAATACATTAGTGAGAGCTACAAAAAAAAGAGAAAAACCTGCATTTCTAATAGTGAACAGTGTTCACACTGTTCATCAGTTTGAAAAACGTGATTTGTCTTTTTTGTGTAGCTCTCACTATAATGTATTTCATCTTAGAAATTTACATATATATATAGAATACATCCATGTTAACATGTATGATTTTTTTCAGAATTTTTTGAAACTTTAAAATATGATTTTTGATTTTTTCAAAATACCCACCTCCATGGAGGTTGACCGCCGTTGGCATTTTGCGGGAGTTGTTCCCCCGTTTTATGTTACTCTACTATCGATATCAACCATGTCTCTTTAGCAAGCAGTATAAAACCAACTCTAAATGTGCCGGTTTCCATTTATCGGACTTCTTAGATACACAGTACTAAAAACGCTCACGGCCAGACACATCTTGGGCCGTCTTAGGCGTGTCGGTTTTCCTAAGAGCTTCTTGGGAGCGGCAATTTAGCTCACAACCGTGGATGCTCTCCTTATACGTTATTCGATATGCGCCCGAGAGGAACATTTCAGATCACAACCGTGGATGCTCTCCATACGGCTAAAGAGACATGGTTGATATCGATATGTGCAACTTTAGCTAAATTGCCATCAGCACGGATACGGCTGTGACCATGTCTCTTTAGCAAGCAGTATAAATGGCCATCAGCACCGAATCTGGCCATAGTGGTCTTAGTGAAAGCTAGTTCTGTGTGTTCTTAAGTTGATGAGGGACCACGTGACATATGTGGTAAGTAATTCAAACTAATCCAAAAAAAAGTTGACGAGGGACTTGCAGCCCATTGATCTAGCTGCAGCCTACAGCCGATTTGGTCACCCTCTTCTTTCTTTTGGAGTGTGTTGTCGTCTCTCCCCTCTGAACACTGCCAAGCGAGAACGCTATATAAGTCGTTACCGGATCTAAGAATTACGAGGGAGGTTTGTGTCATCCTGGTTGTGCACCAGCAAGTTCACCCATGTCCACATCAAGCCTCTTCCAGCGTTGTCGACTTCACCACTTCGTTCTTGTTGTCACTTATCTGACCACCACTAGTAAAAAACAGAGCTTTATTACCGGTTCGTAAGGGCTTTTAGTGCCGGTTCTGCAATCGGCACTAAAGGGTGGAGACTAAAGCCCCCCCCCCCTTAGTACCGGTTCAGCACGAACCGCCACTAAAGGCCCATCACGTGGCGTGAGCTCGCGCCGCGGTATGGGGACCTCTAGTACCGGTTGGTAACACCAACCGGTACTAAAGGTTTTTTTCTGATTTTTTTTTCAAAATTTTGGGAAAAAATTCATTTTTTTTTATTTTTAATTTTCTAAATTATTTGATGATTTAGCCTCTAATCACCCCTCTTAACTACTCATTCCAAATCGTATAATTTCCCGGCCGGTCACCCATCCTCTCACTACTCCAGCCTGAGCATGCTTAACTTCAGACTTCTATTCCCCCAGTTTCCAAGTCTGCACTTGTTGTGTTTTCGTAACAATAATAAGCTGTCAATCCTATTACCCTCAGGAGTTTAACTTGAGCATTAGGTCACACGTTTCACCGTTTGAGTTTGAAACTATTATTCTAAAAAACAATAATTATTTAGTAACACTAATATTTCTTGAATAAGTAGTTTGACCATAGTTTGACAACAGTTTGACCAGATTTGACTAAAATTCAAAAAACTGAAATAATTATTTAGTAACACTAATATTCTTGAATAATTATTTGGTACCACTAATATTTCTTGAATAAGTAGTTTGACCACAGTTTGACCAAAATTTTAAAAAAATAAACTTTGAGCATATCTTTTTTTCCTTTTAGAATTTGAGGATTCAAAAAAATTTGCAAACAAGCCTACGACGGTCAAAATCGGATGCGGATTTTCGTGCTGAACATTTTGATATATTATACGTTTTTTCGACATCGCATGCGAAAGATATAGTCGTTTTACTTTTTCATCACACTTTTTTGCAAAACATGTCCAAATTTAAGTTTTTAAATTTTCCTAACTTGTAGATGTAGTAACATAACTACAACTCGAAGGATTTTAATTTTTGAAGTTTTAATCATTTCCTTTTGTTTTTTTT